AAGGTCTGAGATGTGTGCATTCCTCCTGGAACCAGCCCCCCTCTTAGCTCTTAGCATGGTCCTGGGCACTGCTGGGTGGCCCAGAGAGATAGATTCATGTAGCCTCTTCCCATGATGCCTGGCTGTGTCTGGTCTCCTCTTTATAAGACACCAGCCATTGGGCACAGATCCCTGTGGCTTCCCTCCAGCTTTGGGAATCTGGATTCCATTGTCAGGGGTGATTGGCCTCTCTACAAATAAGGCCCCGCCCTTTTTTGTAGCCCGTCCCCCTACTCTACTCTCACTCTGTCCCCCCCAAACCAGGGGGACAGAGGTTAAGCTTCTGCACATCTCCTCTGGGAACACTCTCAATCCGCAAGGCTGACCGAGCAGGTTTTGTGCTCAGCTAATCCCAGTAACTTCAGGGCTTGAAACGAAACAATACAGGCTATACCGGATCTGACGGAACTGGATTGGTCTCGGTCTGTGTTTTCATCCCCGTGACCTGGAGCAAGTCTCTTCACCTCGCTGAGCTGTGGTTTTCTCGTGTCTACAATGATGCTGATCAGAATGCCTTACCTCACACGTGTTTTAAAAACAAACAAAACTCAAAAACAAACCATCAAAGCTCACCGCTAGTGAGTGGATTCCAACCCATCCTCAGCTCTCCCTGCTATCGATACGATTCTGACTCGTGGTGGCCCTGTAGTAAAACCGCCCCTGTAGACTTCCGAGGCTGTCGATCTTTACGGGAGCAGAAAGCCTCCTCTTTCTCCCAAAGATCAGCAGGTGGTTTCAAACTGATGGCCTTGTGGTTAGTGGCCAACTCAGAACCCACTCTATGACCCGGGGTACGGCAATGACGTGTGCCATTTCAAGGGTTTAGAGTTCTCTCTCAGGATGCAAGGACCAAGATCAGATGGCCATAAGTAAAATGAGAGGAAGCCCAGCATTCTCCAAACCAGGTTCCACAGAGCAGACAAAGGCCCCTTGCACAACATTCATCCATACCCCACTGCCCAGATTATGGTGTCTAAGTCCCCTTGCCTCTAAAAGGCGCCTGGATTCCCTGGGAGGTGGCTGATTCTTGGGCTGGGGGCTGGGGGCAGGTGGGGTGGGGGCGGGCAGACATGTACCCAGTGAACCTGGATAGCTTGTCCTACTTGAAAGAAAAGAGAACAAATGAGATTTGTCTTGCCAAACAAAAAGGGTCATTGGGACAGTACAAGGCCGGTGACGCCCATGGAAAAGGGGACCCATTAGAAGGAGATGTTCAACAGTCATGAGGTCATCACGGGACTCAGACATCTAGAGCAGGATTGCTGGAGCGAAGCAGGAGGGAATGGAGGCTCTGCCCTCTGGTTGACTCTGAGGGATCTCAGGTCCCTCATCTGTGAGATGGTGTCCCCCCCCCACCCCTGGATCCATGTTCAGCCAGGCAATACTACTGCTCCTCAGTGCCAGCGGGTCCGTCCTGCCTCGGAGCATCCCAATAGGCCAGAGCAGAACTGCCCAGTGGATTTCCGGGGCTGTAACTCTACAAGAACAGAAAGCCTCATCTACCTCCTTATGCGCCACTGATGGGTTTGAACTGCCAGCCTTGTGATGAGCAGCCCATTATTCCAGCAGGGCTCTTTTAGCCAAACACTCGGCAGGTCTGTAAGGGGAACAGTAACACTAGTGAGATACTAGTGCGACAGGACCATCAACCATTTGAGATCC